TTTCTTTTATTTTTATCGAGCATTGCCATTTCTTAGATGTGTGACTTCAGACTCTTAGTTTTTCTGAGCTCTTGCGTCTTTACGTGCAACAAAACAAAGTTCATAAAAGCTGTCTCTGGGTTATCCCACAAATGAAGTGATAGGGCCTTTGGAAGTCTGGAGCCAGGAGTATCTACTTCACACTTTGAAAGTACAGAGAAGCCCGGAAATACATTGGTTGGCGCCTATACGCTGCTGCCAGATAGCCTCAGGGCGAATGCGGGTCCTGCAGCCTGGTGGCAAAGCAAGCTTGAGCAAGTGACTCAGCCCCACTGGCTCAAATTTTTATCTGTAAAATGGAAAATAATTGGGTCACCGTCAGCATTAAGCAAGGCCATGTACTGAGTATTTTTTTGGCACCGACAGTAAGGGTGCATATCTACTTATTATCACCACAGGTTACAGGTCCTCTATGAGACGTCCTTCTCCCCCTTTCCCTTCGTTTCTCTCCGTGACAGATCTAGAGAGTCTGATTGAGGAGAAGCTGAGGGGCTGGCACATTTTTATGGACTAAATTGCACTTTCCCTCAATTCATAGTAAGTTAAAGCACTATCCCCCAAAGGTTCTGTTCAATGTGCTCACAAGGGTGAGGTCTTAGTCTTTTTGTTTTTGTTTTTTGTTTGTTAGTTTTTTGATACAGGGTTTCTCTGTAGCTTTGGAGCCTGTCCTGGAACTAGCTCTTGTAAACCATCCTGGCCTCAAACTTACAGAATCCACCTGCCTCTGTCTCCTGAGTGCTGGGATTAAAGGCGTGCACTACTACCGCCCAGCGAGGTCCTACTCTTAAAGAACAGGAGACCCCCATCTGCCTGCTCCAAACATGAAGGCACAGTGTGATGGTGGCCATCTGTAAAGAGGAGGTCCTTTACCAGAAACTAGCCTTCATACTTTCAGTATGAAGAACTGGGGGAAGGGAGATACATTTCTGTTGTTTAAGCCATCTGTCTGTAGTATTTTGTATTGGCGGCCCAAGCAGAATAAAACAGATATTTTTGTTTGTTTTTTTGTTTTTTTCGAGACAGGGTTTCTCTGTGGCTTTGGAGCCTGTCCTGGAACTAGCTCTGTAGACCAGGCTGGTCTCAAACTCACAGAGATCCGCCTGCCTCTGCCTCCCGAGTGCTGGGATTAAAGGCGTGCGCCACCATTGCCTGGCCAATAAAACAGATTTTGAGGCCATGAACTAATAACTAAAATTGTGAGTAGCTTTGGGACAAGATACTAGGCAGTAGCTGGATGGCCATTGCTAGTGTGCTAGTTAGTCGTTGTTCTTGTCAATTTGATGCAAACTAGGGTCATCTGGGAAGAGAACCTCAATGGAGTAAATGCCCCCATCAGAGGCCTGTGGGCCTTCAGTGGGGCGTTTTCCTAACTCATGAATGAATATGGGAGGGTCCACCACATTCAGGCACTCCTGACCTTTTCTCCCTAAGTAGCTTTTAGCTTTGTGTGTGTGTGTTTAATTACAATAGAAAAAAAATTAGGATGGTTAGAAAAAAACAGATTATTTTGAAAGGATGGCCAATAGAAATATGGACAAGAAAGGCTATTCTGGAGCTGGGGAGATAGGGAGCAGATGCTGCTTGCCATGTAAGATAAGAGTGGGGACCAGAGCTCAGGTCCCCAGAATCCACATACATGCCAGCTGGTGGTTTGTCATCATTCTAGCACAGAATGTCAACCTCAGGCCTCTATATGCATATGTAGACAGGTGAGCATGCTCATACATCCGTGTGCCGCAACACATGAGAACACACATTCACACACA